ACTGGGGAAAAATATGGAGCAAGTTTTACAGATTGATTTGTATGCATCTTGAAAACAATGGGATAATGATCTGCATGATCTATTCCCTCCTTGTTTTTTCCCCCTGAGTCCATGGAGCAGAGGGGAGAGGGCTGTATTTCTGTGGAAGAGCGATTTGGCACCTTGGTTTCAGAACAGAAGGGTGTGAGGAAATCATGGCAAGGGAGCAAGATGCCCTCTTGGCTTCTACAGAAAGGTGAGTAAAACTGAGACGACTTGCAGATGGAAAACTGCCTGCTTGTAGCTCCAGTATTAATGGTCCAGATTTGCTTTTGCCACATTATCGCTGTGGATCTGGACGTTAGCTGGCCCTGCTGGAGAAGAGCTGCAGAAGCCCAATCCTTATGCACCCAGGTCTGTAGGAGAGGTGGGGAAACCAATGATGAAAACTATGGTAGTAGCACAAGTTAAGTGCCATTCATCCCTTTTGCATGTGCATTTCCTACAATGGCACGACATAGTTTTTGTTATTCTGATGAACACTTCAGATCCTACAGTCTAGCCTTCTATGTCAGGGTCCTGAGTTCTAATCTAAAGGATGTTCTCTCTAGAAGAGAAAGGGGCAGAAAGCTGCTGCTGCTTCTCTGGTTGGTTGACTGCCTCTGAAACAAATACCACTTTGTGCAAAGGTACATCCTTCTAAGTTCTAAAGCAGAATATTTCAAACTTGGCATTCTAAAGATCTGTGTACTTCTATTTCCAGCATGCTGGTGTGATGACCTGGAGTGTAACACAAACGTGACAAAATCCAAAACATAAATAAATGTCCTTTAATGCCTCCAACTTGGCCCCACTGTTCAATAATTCTCAGTTGGAGATCAAACTTACTTAAAAATAGTCTTTAAAAGAAAGCAATACAGTCCGAACTTAAATGAGCAGATAGACGTGAAATAAAAAACCCAAAACAAACTACAATGAAGGAAATTCCACAATGGACCAGGATAAGTAATTACCAACTTCAAGGAGATAACAAGGCACAGTCTGTTGGAAGGACGCCAACCAAGATAACTTCAGCCCAAAATAAAACATGCTTTGCTTCTGGCAACACTGTGTTGTAACCGTCTTTCTTATATACTATTCTTCCCAGTTGCAACTAATGAGGGGGATCATGGCCGCTTCCTCTCTCATAAGCCAAGTTGTTTCCTTCTCCGTTCCTCCCTGCATGTCCTAGGATGAAGAGGGGATGGCCCTGGTTCTTCCTCTTACTGCCCAATCGGCCTCTGCCCTTCCCCAGCCTCCTCCACAACCTCTGGAGCCACACCTCCACTCCCTCTCCGCTGTTCCTCCTCTCCCTCAGAATCCGACTCTACCAAGGGCATGACAGCTGGTTAGGGAATTCTGGAAGCTGAAGTCCACACATCCTAAAGTTGCCAAGTTTGAAAAACACAGTTCTAAAGCATCCTTCTCCAACTTGGCTCTCCAGATGTACAGGTAGTCCTCAATGTACGACCACAATTGAGCCCAAAGTTGTTGTTGCTAAGTGAGAAATTTGTTAAGCGAGTTTCCCCCCCATTTTACAACTTTTCTTGCTACATTTGTTAAGTGAATCACTGCAGTTGTTAATTTAGTAACACAGATGTTAAATGAATCTGGCTTCCCCGTTGACTTTGCTTGGCAGAAGGTTGCAAAAGGGGATTGCATGAACCTGGGACACTGTAAACGTGATGTGAGTAAGGTGTCATGCATCTGAATGTAGATCATGGGACCATGGGTATGCTGCAATGGTCTTAAGTGTGAAAAATGGTCGTAAGTCACTTTTTTCTGTGCCATTGTAATTTTGAATAGTCACTAAGCAAACTGTTTTAAGTTCAGGACTACCTGTATTGCAAACTGCATTAGATAGTTTCCCCAAACTTCAATCATCACTGGAACAATGAATAAAATAAAAATGTAAAGATATAATGTTATTTTTGCATCAACTTCCATAGCTCTGTTCAATGAACCTATATTGACTTACAATTTATGGGGGAGACATGAATTGGTCAGGTGGGACATTTTGATCATTTTGAGGAGCTTTGAGTTAAAGGGAGGTTATTCTAATAAGAAAGAAAAAAGTGTAGGTTTAGCTAAATGTGAGTTCTTTTTGCAATTGATTCAATAGCTCTAGTCTAAAGGGTTACGTATTATACAGCAAAATGGAAATTAGAAACTAAATATTTATCTGTAATTTTTTATAGCAGTTTTCTTTCCTAACCCTAACAATGATTACATCATTTAGCTGAGAGATTCAACTCTTTTCTTGTAATGTAAAAATTATATACTTTGTTTATAAGGCTATATTCTCATTATCAATATACCGAGCACTAACTCCACAATAATTGCTTTGTCTAATTATTATTTTATTTCTGAAACAATTCTTTCTTTTCTCCTTTTCTTGTTCATTCTTTCCTTTTTTTGTTTTACAAAAAATAAATACACATTTTTAAAAGAAATTAATACATGGCAGTCATGTATGCGGCTTAATATTCATGATTTGTACATATTCAAAAATCATTGAAATAGCTTGGATAAAAATCAAAGAGATAAAGAGATTTCTTGCATTAAGGAACTTTCGTTGGTTTTCTTTCTCCTGCACCCCATCCAATACATACCGTTAAGTCTGTTCCAGTAAGACCTCCAAGACTTGCAGTATGTGTTCACTGCTGGGCACTAAAGAGAAGAAATGCTAAAGAAAAAAAATGGACTAGTTGGCTCAGAAAGGCAGCTGGTCAGAGTTCTAAGGTCAATTGGTCAGTTGACATCCCCTCAGATTCTCTCTCTAAAGTATTGACAACACAATTTAACATCTACTTATATTTAGGCCGTTTGTCCTGACCTCCTATGATCTCAATTTGATTGTCACTCACCAAGTTTTCAGTTTCTTGTGCTTCGTGAAGTAGATCTTTCATGCAAAACCACTCCTTTTTGCTCATTTAATTTTACTAAGCTATATGGTCTCTAAAAAATCAGATGCAACTGAACAGATGAAGACAGAGGCTGTTTTTTTGACATTACCAGCAACAGAAAGTTCTTCTTTTTCCATCTTCTTTTTCCATCACCAAGCCCTGCAAAACCATCTCATGTCAATTTAAAGCATAAAAGTTATGCGTATGTGCCTTGGGTGTGTGGGTGTGCTTATTTTCCAAGGGTGAGGGGTGTGTGGAGTTTTTCATAGTTTGTAATGCATCCTGGTAGATTGCACCTGGTGTTGTGTGATGGCTGCGATCATATCCAGAAGTAGCTGTAGACTGGAATCTGCTTGTGGTGGGACTCAATACTGCTACTTAACAAAGAACAGTTGTTCAATCCATGTTAAGTCTTTGCAATTTGCTTTAATACACATCTTCTTCATTTCCCCCTGCCCCCATAACATAGGAAATAAGAGGCAAATGTTGAAATTTCCTCTACTGAAATACGATTCAGCAGTGTATTTTAATTAGTAAAAATTCTACATGCTAGGAACATTTGTTGATGTAAGGAAAGTCCATTTGATAGCCTAATTCTAAAAATAATGGATCGAAATGATGCCTTTGTCTCATGCTTTGGGAAAGGCAGTCATGCCAAGACGTGCCACCCAAGAAATGAAGAATTTAACATTCAGATTCCAAATTGGAATTGGCTACGATTATAAGCCGGTTGTAAACATTTTTAACAAAGAGGTCTTAGTCTGGTATGCACAAAGAAGTTAAGACTTAGATGTTTCCATCCAAACTTATCTGTCAAGTTGCAAATCCAGCAAAGCTGTAGTTTTGCTCATTGTAATGCAAGGCAAGTCCAAGTTTCTTAGAACATGTCTAATGAGCCAGTCCTTTATTATCTGTGCAAAAGTCCCCCTTACAAAATAAATTTAGGAATTAAATTTAGAGAACATTGTTGTGATGCAACTTAATTCCTTGCCATTTCAATCAATCATTTCTCCACAATACACTGTTTCTTTTTCCTCTCTGCTTGAGAAAATTGCTTTCTGAAATGATGCTTTTTTCAGACATCTTGTTTTGCAGCAGAGATACAGCAGCGCTAGTCTAGTTATGATTGCAAGTCTTCACCATTACAGATTGTTGTGAAACTGGTCCCTGGAAGGTGAAAATTCTGAAGGTAAAAAAAAACCCACTAAGAATATTTCAAATGGCTTCGGGAAGATTTTGGCAGATCCTGCTCATCTCCCCTCTGCAGTTTGGCAGAGGCTTTGGGAACTTTCCTCCCCACTTCTCATTGCAAAGGTTAATATTGTGATGAAAATGTGAACAAGCAAATGTTTTTAATCTTGAAATAAATAAATAAATAAGTAAGTAAGTAAGTAAGTAAATATAAAAATATCTGTAACTGGGCAAGAGAATATACTAATCATAGCAGTCAAGATACTCTTACACATAAAAGGAGATCCACATGTGTATGGGCTGACCTATATTTACTAATACTAAAGAACCCTTGCCAGTCCAGATGTCAAGAGAAAAAAGTGACTCAAAAGCACAAAAATAAAATAAAATCAAACAAAAAAGAAATGTTACCACTATTGAGTCTGGGAGAGTATAGAATAGACTTTCCCAATTTGATTCATTCCTGATGTTATACATTCAGGATGTTAATCTGAGAGTAGCAGTTCCAATATACAGAAGGTATATAGGTGGGGACGAGGAAATATACTACATAAATATCAGAGCCCCATTTATTTTGGGATTGTGCTTAATAGGTAATTACAAAGCCTTCAATTTTTTTTTCTCAAGACATTAAGCTATAAAACTTTTCATTAGCCTTCCACTGAGAATTTTTCTTTCAGCTGTCTCTAGACCTAGTGTGTGTGACAAATGGGTTTGGTATGCATGTGCTCTGTCTCTCACACATACTCTTCATGTCATTATACTTCTTAAAGCAGCCTCCAATTCTCTTTAATTAGTCTAGATATAGGAAGGGAGAATGCAGCATAGAAGATGTCTGGACTTGTCTCAGAAATAATACAATTCACATATTTTTCAGTGTTTGCCATCATAGTTTTTAATCACAATTAGAAAAGAGTTGCATCCCTAGTGATGCAGCTATCAACATGTGTTGGAAAATTCCATACAGTATCTGCTAAATTTTAGACATGTTTGGCAGCTTAGCAAATATCATATGATTGCAGCATCCATGATTTAAATTGCAACAGTCATGTCTTTTTATCTACAAAAAGTGTCTTTCCAACTATGATGCTACCCATATGCAGTTCGTGGCCCGTGGAAAAGATTATGACAATTAGACAATGGTCTCTTTTGAGTTCCTTTTGACTGAATGCAGGCCCAGCAAGGATTGCTGGGTAGAAGGGATGCTGACAGACTTTGGGATGAGAAGGATAACTCGTTGATTGGTCCGACGCCATTCATTGTATAATCTACAGTGATACCTAAAGGATACCTGCAGGAAAACAAAGAGAAGAATTTACGGTTAAGATGACCAGAAACACACACAGAAGAAAACTGAAGGGTCTTTTAATACAAATTGCATTATTGTGCCTCAACCTGAATGATTCTCTTTTAACTCCAGTTCTTCTCAACTCAATAGACACTTTCAGGGGAAAAAAATCCAGTTTTCAATCTGCTTCTGTAATACTTAATCTAACTTTTCTTGTCTATAGCAACTAACAGAGCTAAAAGATATCTGGTAATAGGCGGGGTGGGCTGCTGGGGATTTACAGGAGTTTGGGAGAGCCCCTAGCTAAGATTCTGTGCAATTTGGAGAACCCTCAAATCCCACTCCTGGCTGGCTCCGCCCACCCCACCCTGCCCCTCTCAGGAGTCCCCACACAGCCTGTTTTGGATTGCAGCTTAAGCGCAGGGCGCACATGGAGGCTCGGGGAGGGCAAAAAACGGGCCTCTTGGAAGTTCAGGAAGGTCGGAAATGGGCCTGTTTCTGGCTTCCAGAGAGCCTCCAGAGCCCGGGAAGGCTATTTTCACCCTCCCGGAGGCTCGAGGAAAATCTCTGGAGTCCGGGGAGGCCAAAAATGCAGGAGGCCGACTTGGCAACGCCTACCATGGCCACGCCCAGCCAGCAACTGGGTAGAGAACCGTTGCTAAAAATTTTGAAGCCCACCCCTGGTTATAGGTCAGTCCATTTGGGATCACTTTGTAAAAAAATTAAGTGAATTTAAAAACCTTTCTCTGAATTTACGTATAAAAAACAAGAGAAAATGCTGATAGTTTGGAGTATCATCCCTTTTAAAAATATATCATCTTGCTATGCAACAAAGTAAAGCAACCTTCAGATTGGTGTTTAAATTATGCAGTAATATGTTTGGCAATGCCTTTCTTTGGAAATATCCAAATTTTATTTCAGACAGATCAATAGTGACAACATGGTTAGGAAGTGATATATCTAATAATCCATTTGTAATGAGATTTAAATAATCAGAGTTATTTCAAGCACTTGTAATAGCATTTTTACAACAGCCACTGGATTTTCAAATTCTTTACCCTGATAGCGGTATGATAGCGGTGACAGAGAGATAGAAGGCAGATGCCATTTCCTGTCAGGTCTCTGTGCCTAGGACAGGAGGAGGGAAGAACTATTTATAAAACTCACTGTGAAGGAACTATTGTGTAACAGTTCCAGGACTGGTGAGACTAAGAACTCCCTTCAAGAGGAGACATTAGGAGCATAGAAAAAAATACAGCTTTGCAGAACCTTAGCCACTGTGGAAGAGTCTATTTTCATTCCTCATGTTCACTAGTGGCACAATATCACCACATTTAAAGGCTTCTCCTTAGGTTACTAAGATTCTTTCCCAGAGTCCCTCTCTTGTTATAGAAAGGATAGGTTCTTTTTAGCATTTTTTTTTGCATTATAAGCTAGGTTCTCAATGAATATTCAAGGAATTTTCACAGGATAACATTATCCCATCACTTCAGTCGATCCCACCTAGTCAGGCAGGGAAGATAAATTGTGGATCTCGTCAGCCAAAGAATTCCAACTGCCAGGGTCCAGGAAAGAGAGCCTTCTCTGCCCATTGTCCCTGCCCTGTGGAACACTTATCCTGGAGGTGAGGCAGGGCCGCACTCTCCTGGCTTTCCAGAAAGGCATGAAAACATGGTTCTGGGGCTTTTCTTGGGGCGCCCAGATGAGCACACAAATGTCACGCTAATTGGTGCTCTGAAAGCTCTCCCCGCACTTTTTAATCAATTTTTAACATTCTTTGCCTCTTTTAAATTTTACATACTGTTTTTTATGCTTTTGATATTTTATTGTATACTGCTCGGAGTCCTTCTGTAAGGGAGATGGGCAATTCTTATGTACAACAAATACATCAATAGATACCCTGCGTAAGCCTAATAGGCTGTTTACAATGAGTTCTTGCCTTCAGCCAATGCCTAAGCAATGTCAGCTACTGAAACCCAGAAGTTCAATTTTGCATTTTGTAAGGAAAGTCTTCTGTTAACAATTTGCAATGTTGTTAGTGGATAGCAACATTGTGTAAATCCCACAACCATTTCTAAATCTCTGGAGTTTCCCCCAAAACATTTTGACTAAACGTTTGTGTAAATTTATAAAATTAGTTATAAAAGTCAAACTCAATGTGAAAGCAAACTCAATGTAAAATTATGTTATAAAAGTCAAACTCAATGTGAAAGCAGGATCTGGTCTTCATCTTTTTTTAAAAAAAAATCAGAAACTTGGTTCCAGGATCCTTCCTGCCCAGAACAGAGATGAGATTTGTTCATTGATCATGAAAACAATGCTTAGATTCATTTAAAGGGCTAATCAGCAGTCTTTGAGAGAGAGAGACAGGGTCTTATTTAGGAATGGCAGAAAATAGCTCCTTTGAAATGTATGGATCTCTGTTCTCAAAAGAATTGCTCCACTAAACTCTTACATTATTGAGATACAGCAGCGTTACTCACCCAGATGGCAGTGTTTGATTTAGTATGAAGGCCAATGTGAAGAAATGATAATAACTGCCCTGAGGTATATCTTATGATAGACAATGTGTCAATCAACAACATGTAACACCACAGCACTGTACATCACAATAATCAACACCTTTGGAGTACTGGACTATCTATGGTGAAGTCTCAAAGCCAAATTATGCCATAAGCAAAGATGTAAATATAGTTTAAGTAGGTGGGTGGATTTGGCCAAGCATTATGTATTATGAGATATAACAGGTTCTGTTAACCTGCTGCAGATTGCATATTTGATACATTTTAGTTAGAATTAGTTAGAATTCTTTATTGGCCAAGTGTGATTGGACACACAAGGAATTTGTCTTGGTGCAAATGCTTTCAGTGTACATAAAAGAAAAGATACATTTCTCAAGAGTCAAGAATCATCAGGTACAACACTTAATAATAGTCATGGGGTACAATAAGCAATCAAATCATTTACTTGTGGTAACATAAACTGCAATAAAGCTACTAAGCAACTACAACTATTAGAATCGTATTTGAATACCAGCAGCCTGAATCAATATCAAACTAAACGAACTTAAAATCTAATTGTTTTATATAATTATTTTGACAATATGAGTTTGAGCTTTTTCATCCAAATACATGAAACTGAATAAGATTTTATCTGAACTGTGCCAACCTCCTGTCCTACAGTTGTTATTAGTGGATTGAAAATGGACAACAATAAAATGACTTAAATGAAAACAAATATGTTCAAATAGTATGAACAGTCCAGTTTTTTTTTTGTCTGGGAAAAAAGCTAACAGATACAATGTAGGGACTACTATACCATTTCAGTATCACACCCTGTGCAATTTTGTACAGTCATATGCCACCGTGTTAAAAAAAAATAAATCATGATTTGGGGTCCTAGCATGAGGTAATGAAGTATAATTCAAGCATATTGCAAAACTGTTAGGTGGCAATTGGCTGACTAGAAACTGGATTGGGATTTAATTTCTCTCTTTCTCCCCCTCTATCCCCCTCTTCTCCCCCCTCCTATTACACTGAAGCCCTGTTGTTAGACACTGAAACTTTGAAACCTCTTTTCTGAGAGCACATTTCCTCATTAATATAGTCCATTCCCACTGAAGTCATAACAGGATGAGAAAGGTTCTCTCCTCTCACAACATAAACCTACCATGCCCTGAAACTGTATATTCAATACAATACAATGATGGGAGCCCATGTTTAGTTTAGGCTTATCACTTCCTCATGTGTGTGTAAAACAATACTCTTGGATTAAAGGCCCTTTTAATGATCAGAGATAATTTAAGTTATACACAATACTAAAGTTTTCAAATTAAGATCCTTATCATTAAATAAACCCTCAGGTGCCTCCCAAACTTCTCAACTTTCCTAGGGAGATTTGAGAAAACTGTAGGAAGAGGACAGAAAAAGGAAACTCTCAAAGCTAGATGAAAAGGACAGTCATGGGATGTTGGATTCAGATCTCTAACTGTAATTTAACATGCATGTTTATTTGGGTAGCAATTAAGAGGCAATAGAATATGGTCATGGCATACTTTCCAGAAAATATATGTCCTACTTCCTTCCTTATATGAAATATAATTTGGGATATATAACATTTAAAATCTGTCCTTTTCAATGTATCATACATTGTTTATATGATAAACAATATATGATACACTTTATATGATTGGCATTTATGATGTACATTTGTTGACTGTAGAATCACATCAAGAGAACAGGAGAACAGCAGCACAACAGTACTGGATAATATAAATAATGAGAAAGATATCCATATAGGCTGCCGATTATTTTAGACAGTTGAATTTTTTCTGCCAATTTTTTTCTGGAAGACTGACTGTGCATATATGAAAATAACAGGAATTTTATTGAAGCTAAAGGAAGTTTCCAGTCAAAAACCATTCCAGGCAAAAATTAGTTTGAGCAGTTTCCACTAGTACAAATCAATTGATTTAAATAGACATTTTATTAATTTATTAAATATTTGTTTCTTTACCACCTAAAAACTTTCTGTATATACCATAGTAGATACCATATTTTTCAGACTATAAGACGCCCCAGACTATAAGATGCACCTTGGTTTAGAGGAGGAAAACAAGGGGGGGGGAATCATTTTTTGCCTCTGCGTTTTTGCCCTCCCCGGCATCCAGAAGCTCTCTGCAATCCAAAAAAAGCGCCCGTTTTTGGCCTCAGAAGGCCTCCACATGTCCCGTTTTCAGCTTCCCCAACACTGGCCTGAGCGCTGGGGAGGGCAAAAACGGGACCTGTAGAGGCTTTGGGAAGCCAAAATGGGCCCATATTCGCTATATAAGATGCACAGACATTTCCACCCACTTTTGGGGGGGCGGGGGGAGGAAGGAGGGAGGGAGGGTAATTAATAATGCTCCTAAAACAGTTTCTAAAAAATCCTAGATGACTGCCATAATTTCTCCTAAGGGGCCAAAGAAAATGGTTTCTAGTGCCCTTCAAAATGTCAGAAGAGAA